TAGCACAGATTTATATTAAAGAGATTGTAACCACGCACGGTGTTTCATTATCCATTATTTCTGATAGAGATAGTCGTTTCACTTCAAGGTTCTGGGAGAGTCTGGAGAAAGCTCTGGGGTCCGAAATCCGATTAGGTACAACTTATCATCCGCAAACAGATGGACAAAGTGAAAGAACTATCCAGACTCTTGAAGACATGTTGAGAAGTTGTATCATTGATTTTGGGGGATCGTGGGAAGATCATTTACCATTGATAGAATTTGCGTATAATAACAGTTACCATTCCAGCATCCAAGCGGCACCATATGAAGTACTGTATGGACGTAAATGTCGAACGCCGTTGTGTTGGAACGAGGTAGGAGAAAGACAGTTAACGGGTCCTGGGATTGTTCAAGAAACTTCTGAAAAGATTGAACAGATTCGTGAAAGAATCAAAATAGCACAAGACCGCCAGAAAAGTTATGCTGATAATCGACGAAAGCCGATAGAGTTTAGTGTGGTGATCTTGTAATGCTAAAAGTTTCTCCATGGAAAGGTGTCATCAGATTTGGAAAGAAAGGTAAGCTCAGTCCAAGGTATGTTGGGCCATTCAGAATATGTAGACGAATCGGTCCAGTGGCGTACCAGTTAGAACTACCAGAAGAACTAATTCTGATCCATAAAACTTTTCATGTATCAAATTTGCAGAAATGTTTAGCTGATCGGAGTCTTGCTGTACCGCTATCAGAAGTTAAACTGGACAATAAGCTGAACTTTGTGGAAACCCCAGAAGCCGTGATTGACCGAAAGATCAGGGTGTTGATAAACAACGAGATCAATTTGGTTAAAGTACAGTGGAAATTTCATAAGGGTTCAGAGGCAACCTGAGAATTAGAATCAAATATGAGAACAGAATATCCGTGGCCCTTTGATTAAAGGAATTCCAGGATGGAATTCTTTTGAGGGGTGGATAATGTGATAAATGGGTCCTGGTTATCACTTGAGGTAATTAATACGTGATTATTTGCTACATGATTTCATGATGGCATGATAAATTGATATATTTGATCATACAAGAATATGATATTTTGTGTAAAAATATGTATACACTATGTGAATATATATATATATATATATATGTGTGTGTGTGTGTGTGTGTGCATGAATTGTTATGCTTTGCATACATATGTTGAATATATATGCATGATATATGCATGAATGATTAGTGTGAATGCATGCATGTGAAGGAGGCGGTTTAGCCGCCATTCTGTTTTGGAAAGGTATAAAGGGAGGGTGAAGCCCCCATTTCTTCTTCTCGCCATTTTTTTAAACATAGTGAGCGTTTTAGTGAAGGGATTGATCGGATTGCTTATTGACAAGATTTCAAAGTTGATTTTCGAAAAGGAATTCAAAGGTGAGTAATTAAAATGATTTTTGTCTCTTTGAATTGTATAATTGTTGGAATAACTTTTCACCCGGTTTAAGTTTAAATCGGATGGGTGTTTGACCGAACTAGAATAAACCGGACAAAGGTTAACCGGATTGAACATAAACCGGACGTAGTCTCATCCGGATTAAGGATAATCCGATCAAAGTGTTAGCCGGTTTATATGTTGAAAGATTTTGAACTTTGAAATTTTGTTAAGTGTTTTAAACGAAAAAGTAGAAATACGATCAAGGGGTGACCGGTTTAGTTATAAATCGAATAAGGGTTACCCGATATGTTTTAAATCGCCTAGTGTGTTGTCCAGTTTAGATGTAA